CCCAAATGCCAGTTTTTGCCAAGAAGAAAACAAGCTCCAATTGGAGTGTCTTTGGTGCTCAACATTCTCTTGGGAATAGATAGGTGCTGTCAGGAGCAGTTTTGTCTCACTTCAACAGAACTGTAAGTTATTTAAATGCCATTTTCTACACCTCTTTAAAGTGGTTGAAAATCATCTATCTATGTAGAATATAATCTCTATGTATCTAAAGAACCTGATTAGTCTAACTATAAGTATGACAAACATAGATGACTATTGATCTTAATAATTTTTAATTATTGATGAATAATTCTTAATACTTATATAACGTAAAGACTAAGACAATAAACTATGCAATAAATGAGGATAATGACCTCCAAATGTAAACAATGTGTCAGTATCTTGATCAGAGGTAGAAATGTACACTGCAATATGGGATATATATATATATATATATATAAATGTTTTAAACATTTATGCAGGTAGAAACATGTATGTATATAATATTCAATATAATTTAACTTTGTATCAATATATAAGAATCTATACAAATGTAATTATCTATAAATAATAACTCACAAGTATTCACTCTATTAATCACTATTATTATTAGTGTGAGTAAACTTATACCAATCTATTATCCCATCCAATTTTCTTTTTTTTAAGAGATCCCTGAGCTTATAAAGTTTCCCCCTAACTCCCAACCCTATACCAATTATAATCAAACCCTAAATGATGACCTAACCCTGAGGACAAACTTTGTTGGAAGGGGGGTTGTCATACTTCTAGTTGTCATGGGGGCGACATTCTTTCTAGAGGATCTTGTGAAAGTAAAATGATGGTTAAGTTTCAAGATTAATGTCTGGTATGATTGCAAATAGTCTCTGAGTATTTTGTGGAGGTCTGGTCAGAACATAAAAAATGTGCACCACTTGAGCTAACTAAGTTGGAACCATCTTGTGCAGTTGGTACCAAAGATAGTCTTGTAGTTGTGCTATCAGCATCATGACGTCATATCAATCAGGTGGAGTTGTTGTGGGGCCCCATCTTCTGCCTGGAAGCTTCAAATGTCACTGTAGGGAAATTCACTGTTCATTGCAGAAAACTTAAGCATCATTATATAGACATATATGTTCAATGAAAGGTATGATAAAGACAAAAATAGATATGAAGAAGAGTAAAATTTTTCTAAATTGTTTTTTGTTTCTGTCCCATATCAAACAGCTCTTAATGTGACATAGAAATTCTGGATTTTGTTTCTTTTAACAACACGCTTGGATTGAAAGAAGGACAGAGTCGTTGTCCAACTCTAAAACCAGCTCTATATATTCATAAGTATAAATACATACATATATATGTACATATATAAACATTTTTTGTTCTTACGGATGACATTTGATTTTCTTGATGATCCTTATTGGGTAGTTATTTTTCCATCTGTCATTATTCAGACAGCAAGGGTCTCTTGAATTTTTGAAGATGAGTGTTTTCCTGCAAAGACAAGAACAGAACCCTGCCTTCATCCTATATGCTTTCCTTACCACCTGTATTGTTATCATCATTGTGGATAAGCTGTCATTTCTCCTTTCAAGAGGTTTCTCCTCTTCAAACTAAATCTTTATTAATTTTGATGGTATCCATAATTTTTCATCTCCTGTAAAAACATGAGCAAAACCACTTCTCCAATGCAACACATCTCCTGGCTTCCATTTTGAGGTCAGTACATATTTGAAATAAACTGGTTGATTTAATTCAGCAGACTTTTCCATTATCCAATGTCTTTCTGCTGCTGTTGTTCCTTTCTCATTGGCGTTAAGAAAATTCAATGTCAATAAAGCATTATTCATCAAAACTATGTATAGGTTTTCATTGTTATTATCAAATTAGAGAGTACAGGTGACAGAGGAGACATCTTCCTGACAAGCTACAGGTAAAAATGCCCAGTACAGTGGGATATTTCTAAGAGACAAATACGCTATATTACAGGAAGAGGAGATGTAACCACATCTACTGATACCATGCTAGATACTAGAGAAAGAGACCTGCAGCAGATATGTAAAGAAACAAACAAAAAAAAAGAGCTGCAGCAAACAAGTAAAGGCACAGCAAAAGCAAAAGACCTTCTGGCATATGCAGTCCAAAAGGAGATTGGTCCATCAGTGCATTTCCTTCTGGTGGGCTTACAACTGGAACTTCAATTACAACTTGCTGTTTCTCTGGGAATGACCAACAGCAGGGTTTCTAGCATCAAAAAAAAAAAAAATGCCACTGTTGTGAATTAGTCAGTATGATAAATAATCAGGCCAGCTCAAAAATAACAATTATATTTTAATGGTGATAAGGAGAAACTCACACTACAAGAGTTGGAGGGCCGACTTCCTATCTGTCCAGCCGGAGCTGTCGCGCAGAGAGCGAAGCAGGGGGTGCCCACCTCTGTCCTCCCAGTTTTTCTTCCTGGGCTCCAGGTAGCCACACCTTAACTCAATGTGATTGGTTGACAGAGCTTCCTCCTCTGGCTACAGCTTTGATATGAAAGGCCATAGCTTATTTCCTCACCCTGCCTGGGTAGTGAACATGCTAAAAATTTTCCTGAAGTCACACTGTTGAGAACACATGTTCATCACTACTTCATCTCTGCATCAGGACCAGACCCTTTCCCTGGGGGAGGAGATCTACTGTTCCTCCTAACTTATATATGAGTCTTCTTCACCAGGCTTATGAAGATGAATATAGAAGATCAAAACCGTTGCTGGATATTTGTTTATACTGTGTGAAGATGTGTCTATGGTTTGCCTCACTTGCCTATGGCACCTGATTGATTTAATAAAGATGGGAATGAACAATAACTAGGCTGGAAAAGAAGAGGTTGAACTTGTGGGCAGAAAGAAGAATTCAGGGTTAGTGTTCGGCATGAAAAAAGAAGCTATTGAGACACGAAGGGATTTGGACCTACAGAGGAGAGTTAAAGAGCCATGTGGCAGAATGTAGACTAATGGAAACAGGTTAATTTAAGTTGCAAGAGCTAATTGTTAACAATCCTAAGCTAAAGGCCAAGCTTTTCATAATTATTAAGTTTTCATAATAACATAAACAATAATATTATATTTATGTGTCATTATTTGGAGCTAGAAGGCCAAAGAACATCTTACAAGAAAGCCTCAATACACAGAAAACGGGTTTGAGCTATTACTTTAGGTATGGACTACAAAGCATGCTGGGTTTTAAAGTTATTGTTTCTTATATAAAATGATTACCAGAATATTGATCTTCTATTACTTTGCTTATGCTAGAAAATGATTTAAATATGAAACTTAAAACAAGAAGAAAAAAAGCCTAATTGTTCTGCATGCTAGAACATGTCTTTAACCTAGCACCCAGGAGGCAGAAGAATTTAAGAACACTGTAATCTACATAGATCACTCAGGGATGCAGAGTGAGACCTTGTCTCAGAAAAAAAATGAAACCACTTGTCTGCAACAATAGAAAATTTACAAAACTGTCAAGAATGCCTAGAAAAGTGCACTGATGAAGCAAGTCAGGTTGCAATAAATACTAAGAAATTCATTTTGTGGGACAGTCTATGTAAGATAATTTTAAACAAAAAGACAATATGAAATGGTAAATGGAAATACAAAGAAAATAATTTGATGGGAACCCCTGAAACTGAAAAGCTCTGTAAAGTAAAGGACATGATCAAATAGACAAAATGGCAATGAACAGAATGAGAAAATATCTTACCAACCCCACATCAGACAGAGGGCTGATCTCCAAAACATAAAAAGAACTCAGGAAATTAGACATCAAATAACCCAATAAAAATAGGGTACAGTTCTAAACAGAGAACACTCAACAGAGAAATATAAAATAGCTGAAATACACTTAAGGAAATGCTCAATATCCTTAGCCATTAGAGAAATTCAAATAAAACTCTGAGATTGTATCTTTCCCTGTAAGAATGACCAAAATGAAGAACGCTGATGACAACTTATTCTGGAGAGAATTTGGGGTAAAAGGAACACCACTCCATTGCTGGTGGGAGTGCAAACTGGTATAGCCACTTTGGATATCAGTATGGAGATTTCTCATAAAATTGAGAAAAAAACATACCTCAAGACCCAGGAATACCACTTTTGGGTATATACCCAAAAGATGCTCAATTATATTCATAGCAGAAATGTTTGTCAAAGCCAAAACCTGGAAACAACATAAATTCCCCTCAACCAAAGAATGGATAAGGAAAATATGGTACATTTACACAGTGGAGTACTACACAACAGAAAAAAAATCCACTGAAATCTTGAAATTTATGGGCAAATGGATGGATCTAGGAAAACATTATATTGAGAGAGACAAATACAAAATGGACTCTCTCTCATAAGTGAATTTTTAGATATAAATCAAAGAAAAACTGATCTACAATTCACAATCCCAACGAACCTAGAAAACAATGAGGACCCCAAGAAAGACATACATGGATCTAAACTACATGAGACATAGAAAAAGACAAGATCTCTTGAGTAAATTAGGAACATAGGGACTATGGGAGAGGGTAGAAGGGGAGAGGAGAGGAAAGGAGGGGAGTGGAAGACATTATATAGCTCAATAAAAAGAATTTAAACAATTAGAAAAAAATATTTAATTTTAAAAGGAAATTGTTTTATAGTCACTCCTTATGTTAAGTAGGGAAACAAAACCAACATTTTTCTTTATATTGTTCATACTCAAGATAAAATAAAATGGGCTTTCTGTTTTAGGAAGAATGCTATCTCCTGGTTTTTTGTGAGCCAAGTAATTAAATGGTATCATTTTATCATTATCTATAGAACAGAACATCTCTGTTCAAACATTGGGAGAAAATAAAAAAATGCCTTTGAAGTTTGTAGATCAATAAGAACTTCCTGCTTTGCACAAAGCTCAAAAGGTCGAGCCCACAATCCACTAGAGGATGCCAGGAGTTAAAAGATGCTTAAATACTGGGGCCTGCCAGCTGTGAGCAGTTGCACAGCTGAATCCCAGGCAACATGAAGTCTCTTCTTAACCTGCTGTTCCTCCTGTTTTTTGTCATCATCCACTCCAAGGTCTATAAGCCCTGTGATTTTGCCAGAATTATGAAAAGAAGTGAAATGGATGGCTATAGGGGATTCAGCCTGGAAAACTGTAAGTCTCCTCTACTTGACCCTATCAGATAAGCACCCCCCCTGAGAACAGGTACAAGGAAGCAATGAGTGAGGAGAGAGAGAGAGAGAGAGAGAGAGAGAGAGAGAGAGAGAGAGAGAGAGAGAGAGAGAGAGAGAGAGAGAGCTGGAGTCAATAACTAAGGACAAGGATGTCAGGCACCCAAAGCTTGGGTTCAAACATTCGTGTTTTTCATCAGTGATACTGGGGTGATGATATGGGCGGGGACATTGGTGCTTTGCAAAGGCAATAGGACCTGAGGTGCTCTTGGAGTATCACTGGGTTGTCCAGTTACTTCACATTCAATAGTCCCGAAGGGTCTGAGAAAATATGGGAGAACTGACTCATTCAGAACTTGAGTTATGAGAACCTGGAGTGATTGGTATCTGTCTTTATTTCTCTTTCCACGGTATAGACCTTCTTAGAGAAATTTTCAAAGTTTTTGACTTTCTTATGCAAGGCAGAGGGATCCTATTTTCCTCAGTTGCTGCTTAAATGTGGTCTTCTGAAACTGCAAATAAAATTATTTGGCATGCTTCTTCACTCTGGGATGCCCTCTTGTTCTGAAAAACGAGGATGAGGAAAAGTTGTTCACAACTTCCCACATCTAGTGTGCTTTTCAGATTTGAAAAAGCAGGTTAGTGCTCACCAAGTGATGTTTAACGAACAAGTGAACAGACAAATGCATATGTGGAGATGGATGGATGGATGAATTGGTGACTAGCCTTTCCTGTTCTAGTATTCTCTTTTCAATATTCTCATCAGGCATTTGAGATGGTACACAACCTGGAATTCAAGCAATGAGACACTAATGCAAAAGACTGAATATTCTGGGACAAAGTAGGCTGCTTAGTGACACAGAGCAGAAAAAAGAATTCTAAACTGACATGCGAATTCAGCTTGGTTATAAGAATGTTTCTCTGAAGAAATCCTTACTTTTCTCATAGTCACATATTCTATCTATTTGATGTTAGTTTATAAAATTCAACGAATCCCTATTTGTGTTTCTATTTTATGCAGCGGTATCTTGAGGATAGATGTGGAAGGGAAAACCAATTGAAGAAATAGCTATTTTACTTTAGTGATTAGGAGCACAGTTTCATGTAAAGAACTGAGTGGCCTGGCATTTTCTTTGTAGACCAGGCTGGTCTCAAATCCACAGATTTCTCTGCCTCTGTCTAACAACAGGTAGGAATAAAACCGAGCACCAGTGTCACCAGTTTATCTACTTGAGTATTTAAAAAAATTCTTCTGTTTGTTCTCAGGCAAACTGAATTGTCATCAAAGAGATTTTCTTTGGGGCACTTGAAAGTCACTTGATGACTAGGTACGCCAGTTCCATCTACTGGAAAGGCAGAGAGAGAGAGAGAGAGAGAGAGAGAGAGAGAGAGAGAGAGAGAGAGAGAGAGAGAGAGAGAGAGAGAAAGGGGAAATCACTTGAGGCCTGAGACTACCCTGAATAACACAGCCAGACCTGACCTGAACTAGTGGGAGCATATTTTATAATTTAATCATACTGTGGTACTTATAAAGTAAATTACTTGTAAAATACAGCCAGCTAATTTTGATATCCAAAATGAACCATTTGCTGTTGCTGCTTATTGATGAATATTTTTTTCTTTTCAGGGATGTGTTTGGCTCAACACGAGAGTAGCTTTAACACAGGAGTTGTAACCTACCACCGTGGACACCAAAGCACCAGTTATGGGATATTTCAGATCAATAGCCGACACTGGTGTAATGATGGCAAAACCCTCAAAGCAGTGAATGCCTGTGGGATACCCTGCAGTGGTAAGACAGAGCAGGTTTACAAGGATAGCAAGCAACTCACCTGCTTTTATGTGCAAGAACAGAGATTCTGTGCAGGAGACAACACTAAAGGAAACATCAGGAACCTGGGGAGGCTGTCTTGACTGTTAATTCATTGTTAAGCACATCAAAACTAGCCAAGGAAGATAATAGGCTTAAGGCATAATTTTTTCCTGAAGATTTCTATTCTGGCTGTTTCCTTAAATGAAGATATTTCTATAATAAAGACCATATGAGGGAGGGGAGCAGAGAAAAATGTAGATCTCGTGGGAGCCTAGGCAGTTTCGTGGATGCTCACCTTACTAGACCTAGATGGAGGTGGGTGGTCCTTGGACTTCCCACAGGGCAGGGAACCCTGATTGCTCTTTGGGCTGATGAGGGAGGGGGACTTGATTGGGGGAGGGGGAGGGAAAGGGGAGGCGGCGGTGGGGAAGAGACAGAAATCTTTAATAAATAAATAAAATTAAAAAATTAAAAATAAAAATCAATAAAAAAGATGTGAAGAATAAAAAATGACCATATGCTAAGGTATCACTAACTCACTGGTATTTTGTTCAACTGGTTTTTACTTATATGAACTGATGTGCTATTAGCTTTGAGAGACCTGATAGTGACCTACTAATATCAAATTTTGACTTAAGCTTGTTAGAATGCATGTCCAGACAATCTAATTCTTCGACTCAATAAAATAACATAGATTTATGTACTTAAGATGAAACTTATTCTTCATAAGAATAAAAGAAGTTTATGTTGACAGGGAATCCTACATCAAGTTTATAACAGGGTGGAGTCCTGGGATGGTGCGACTTGAACTCATACAGTTGCAGAAGTAATATGTAATTTGTAATGCATGAAGAAAATTGGTCTATTCTGCCATGTTGGGAACTGAACTGAAGACTAGCTACATTTTAGTCAAGCACTCCAAGCAATGAACTATTCATTCCTACTCTGTTAAAGTTGGTTAGTAAAATGTTTAAGAGAAAAGAGATGTGAAACATTTTAAGCCTATATAGCCCGTGTTTGAAGGCATATTAGAGACTCATCTGTAGTCATTAAAAGGGAAAGAAACTATAGGGAAAGAGGAATATCACTTGAAATTTGCCAGCTAAGAGTGTTGATGTAAATGGAGATCTTAGGAAAACATTCTTCTAGACTTTAAACCTATGCTGTAGGTCCATGTAGAGTTATATCATGCGCATATATATTCACATAGAAACATGTAAAGATTTTACAATTAGACCCAAATTAAATTATATTTGCATGGGTTCATAAGTTGCTTATTATTTAAAACTACGTTTATAGAAACTAATTTTGGCCCGGACTATCATTATAGTGAATAAAACTACAGCAGCAATATTCTCTATGCTGAAAATACAACGCTTAAGTCTTGAGTCTTTTCTTTTTAAGGCTTATTTATTTATTATATTTACAGTTTCTACCTGCATGCCTGAAAAGTGCACCAGACCTTATTAAGATGACTGTGAGCTACTTTATGATTGCTGGGAATTGAACTCAAGATTCTGGAGACGAGTCGATGTTCTTAATCCTGAGCCATCTCTCAAGCCCCAATTCTTGATTCTTAGAGCACCTTTTATTTAAATTCCTAGGAAGAACTTTATTCACAGAAGACTTGTACATTGTGTTCTTCCTTAAAGTATTCATTTATCTTTATGGGTGTGTGTACTTTGCTTGCATATAGGATTGTGCACTGCTTGTCTGCCTGGTACCGGTGGAAGCTAGAAGAGGGCTTCCATTTCCTGGAACTGGAGTTACAGACCCTAGAGAGCTTCCATGTGGGTGCTGGGAATCAAGTTCTCTGGAAGAGGGTCCAGTGCTCTTAGCCACTGAACCATATGTCCATACCTCTGTTTTTCTTTTCTTCAGGATGTATCTCCACTGGTAGACCCATGTGACAGTTCCAGCATGTTCTATTTTCCAGTGTGAGAATAAAGAATAACTTCCCTCATGGTCACTGACAGTCCCACAGTCTCTAGTGACTCTTCATTACTACAATATTTTCTTTAATTTTTAATCAGTGCTGGAATTCTAAGAATACACTACTACTGAAGTATATCTCAACCCCTAGGGACTTCACAAATGATAAATTAAGTGACTTACACCATATCAACAGGATAGAATCAAGAGAATGTGTCTCCAATAATCACAGATTCATGGACACTTGGAAAGTAATTTCTTTTATTCACTGTTCAGTGCTGCAGAGGAAAGCTGCCTGGATCTGAACTGAAAAATGGGTTCTGTAACAATCCTTGTCATTCCTCACACCTGTCTTTCAGTTTTGCTCCAGGATGACATCACTGAAGCCATAACATGTGCAAAGAAGGTCGTGAGTGATTTAGAAGGCATCAGAGCATGGTATGTTGGAACTTTGAAAGGGGGAAACTTCTGGTTCTGTTGATTTATGCAGTGAGTCTTTCTAAGGCTCATTATGAGCTCTACAAATACAGCTGGGGCTTTTATCTACACCGCTACTCGAAGTAATTTCTCGAGATTGTGAGAACCCTCACATTTGACTTCTCCCTTCTCAGGCCTCCGGATTATTTGTAGATCAGTTCACTGTACCATGCATGTGTTGCCGCATTGACATTGAGCATCCTGTGCTGCGCTCAGGGTTTTGAGAGATTCATACTGCCATGTAGACATAGAGGCATCCATCAGTAGTAGTTTCTAGATGCGTCTACAATCTGTATTTCACATTAGATCTTGGCCCAGGTCAGAATCTCCATTAGTGTCACTGTTACACTATCTCCCTGCAAATGTTTGAGAATGCGTGTGATGGGGAGACATTTTTTTTTTTTTTTTTTTTTACCATTTTTCCTCTAGGTTACTTTCTCCCACAGGAGGGCATGGAGAGCCAAATGTGAAAACCGAGATGTCACCAAGTATCTTCAGAACTGCAGAGTCTAATCACTGGACACTACCACTGCAGCTCATTCTGTTGCTTTCTCGCTCTAGAAGTAGTTATGGGAAAAATCACACTTTCTTGTTCTCCCCATCAAACAAGCAGGCTTTAAACAAAAGCAGGAGCACAAAGGAGAGTGTTTCCTAAAAGGCTTCTGCTGCCTTCTTTGTTGTTTTAGGCAAAGCCTCAATTTTTCAGATAGATAATGCAGCAGATGGTGGTGTCAGTGATCTAACACTGTGGTCATCAAACACATCTCTATACTTCAGTTATTCACTTATGAAGTAATTCACATCAAGTTTCACTGGAATTGATCTTCATGTCTCCCTTGTTGGAATGATTTAAAACAAAACATTCATAGGAGATAAGTTGATCTCAGGTAAAATGGCAGCTGTGTGAGCTCCCAGGCCTTGTGTGCAGGCCCAGCACCCAGACAGTTAGAACAGCCACTGTATGGGGAGAGCTGGGATTTTAAGGGAAAAGAACTCTGAGTGAATAGAACTATACTCAGAAACCTGTTTTCATGAACTCTGTGACCTTTCAAAAAATTATTTTCTTAGAGCTTGTCCATTTATACCACTTAATTCTCACTCATGTTCAGTCTATTTTAACCCTTGAGAGAGTATTCCCATCCCCTTGCTGATCATGAGGTGTTCCAGAGAGATTAGTGTCTGTGCTAGCCCTTAACTTTCTTAAAGTAGCTTCATGCATATCAGCTAACTCTGAGACAGATGAGCTTGGATCAGCAAAACTAAGAGCATTGTGAAAAACTACAAATTACCATTAAATCATTTCAATGTACATGTTGTCTGTGTTTACTTCTATATGGTGTCTCTGAGGGAAATTGTTTATATATTAGGAAAAACAACATGGCACTCTCAAAAGGGTATAGTTTCTCACCTGCAATTAGCCAGCATCTACATGCTCACCTCCACAAAACCAGTGTCTACATCCTCACCTACAAATAACCACTGCCTACATCCTCACCTACACATAACCAGCATCTTCATCCTCATCTAAATAACACCTGTGCCTATATCCTCATTTATAGATGGTGGTTGCCTATATCCACATCTACATATAGCATCTGCCTATATCCTCACCTACATGACGCATGTGTCCACATGCTCACCTACGTCTACATGCAATTAGGTGAATATTTCTGTGGTAATATTCAAGAGCAAGCTGACCAATCCCTCCTTTCCCTAATGGGCCCATAACAAAGTAATTCCCATATTATGATTATATCTTGTCATCTAGTCCTCTTGGGTGTTTGCTTCTTTTTATTCTAGAGTTTTCAAATGTTCTGTTAACTACCTAATATGGGATTTCTTTCAGCTTCTTTTGTAGTCATTTAGTGCTATGGACATTCCTCTTTTTTTTTATTAATATAATTTTTTTATTGAAAAAAAAAGATTTCCGCCTCC